TGATCGTAATTTGTGCAATTCTTCAATATTCTTCAAAATACATTCCTCCTGCATCAATACACTTGCGGAGACGTGTTTGCCACGCCTGAAAGGCACCCTGAAACTCTTCGACAGGAATGCTTTTCAGGAACGTTGTAACATGGTGTTGGATGTTTTCCACGGGTTTCCAATGTTTTCCTTTCATCTCTCTCTTGAGTCGCGGAAACAAAAAGAAGTCACATGGAGCTAAGTCGGGACTGTAAGGGAGGTGAGGGATCACCGAGGTGTTGCTTCGGGCCAGGAAGTTGGTATTGATGAAGGCTGTGTGGCTGGTGGCATTGTCATGGTGGAGCTTGACCGTGTCTTTAATGTCAGTCCTCACGCGTGCGATCCGGCGTTTCAATCTCCTGAGCACCTCCAGGTAAAAGGCTGAGTTTACAGTTTGTCCCTGCGGTACAAACTCACAATGGACTATTCCTCGGATGTCAAAGAAGACAATGATCATCGTTTTGATGCGCGACTTGCTCATTCGCGCTTTCTTGGGGCGTGGGGATGATTTTGTGTGCCATGCACAGCTCTGCCTTTTCGACTATGGGTCGTATTCAAACATCCAGGATTCGTCTCCGGTTACTACAGAGTTCAGAAAGTCCGGTTCATTTTGAATCAAATCCAACAATTCTTGACAGCGCAAAACTCTTAAGTTCTTTCTGGTCTTGCGTCAACACTTTCGGCACAAGCTTCGCACAGACCTTACGCATTTGCAGATCCTCGGTCACTATCCCATGTACCACAAATGTGGACATGTGTAATGTGTCAGAAATTTGCTGGATGCTTAATCGACGGTCGGTACGCAAAACTTCGAGCACACAATCCACGTTCTCGTCTGTTCTGGCCGTTGTTGGGCGTCCTGAAAGGGGTTCGTCGGCGACCTCCCCCCGGCCCTTCTTGAACGCCTTGTGCCACTTCCCAGACTGTGATCTTGAAATGAAATCGTCCTTGAAGGCTTTTTGCAGCATCTGGAATGTTTCGGTTGCATTTTTTCCAAGCCTCACGCAAAACTTTATGGCGTATCGTTGTTCAAGCGAACGCTCCATCGCGCTATGTTACAAAAGTTGAAAACACACTTCAAGCGGAGGCATGTATCTCTCCTCACACTGCTCGAACTCAACTGACGACCGGATGGATTGAAAGGGCATATCCCTCCACCATATTCCCCACGGTTTTACCGTGCTGCCATCTATCGTCGCGTCACAATAAAATTATGCTCATTACTTTCATAATGGACCCTGTATATTGTGGTCATATCAATATTATCAACCCATTATTTCCATAAGAATATAACGCTATAATCAACGTCGTTAAACGAAGTGGTTTCTTCAGCCGTATATCTTCTCAATCTTACATCATCCCGGCTCTCGAAGAGCCCACCTTAACGAGCGAATTATGGCAATCAATGGCCTCCCCAATTAGTAATTAAATATCCTCTCTGCCGACGCATATATAAATATCTTGATATGATAATTATTTTAGAGATCCCCCCTCTCTTCATCGATTCCTACTTAGTTAATGATTAATGCCCTGATGGACCATCGGCGTTAAACAGCATGTCTTCCTCCTACTTTGGAATAGTCAAAATCAGATTGTTTCTTGTTATAATTTTTCTGTTAACATTTATAATAAGTTTCAATAATGGAATTTTTATTGCAAGTGGATATTATAAATGATGCAATAAACAGCATGTCTTCGTCCTACATTGGAATAGTCAAAATCTGATTGTTTTATGTTATAATTTTTCGGTGAACATTCTAATAATGAATTTTTCATTACAAGTTGATGTTACAAGAGCTATACAGGTTCAATAATAATGCAATAAACAGGATGTCTAAAACTTCGAAATACTTTCGGAATATTCAGAATCAGATTGTTTCATATTATACTTTTCAGTGAATATTTATAATAATTTTTAATAATGGAATTTCTATTACAAGTTGATGTTATAAGCTATAAAGTTTTAAAAATGATGCAATAAACAGCATGTCTTTGTCCTACTTTGGAATAGTCAAAATCAGATTGTTTCATGGTATACTCTTTCAGTGAACATTTATAATAATTTTTAATAATGGAATTTTTATTGCATGTGGATATTATAAGCTATAAAGGTTTGATAATGATGCAATAAATAGCATTTCTAAAACTCCGAAGTACTTTCGGAATAGTCAAAATCAGATTGTTTCATTTTATACTTTTTCAGTGAATATTTATAATAATTTTTAATAATGTGTGTGGATTTTTTATTGAGAGTTGTTGTTATAGAATATGTTAGATTTAACGTTGATATTATATTATATATCATTTTTAAATAGACCCAACTATAATTATTTTTAAATTCATATATTGCTGCTGTTGTTAGTCTCCATCAAGTCGATTCGAATATTATAGTAGAGATGAAATAAAATTTATATCAAATGAATAAGATAAATTGAGATAGATAACAGAAGAAATTTTCAATTTTGTTGTTCAAATTCACAGAAGTTTTTACATCACTATTTCCAGAAGCAATTCCTTCTATTAAAGTTCAAACAAGGACGGTCTCTGCAAAGATTAAGTTTTCTCAAGTGATAGAATTCTAAAGATAGTCCAAGCTCTTATTTAATCTTAAAATAATTGTTTGTGAGCGAATTCTGTAAAACCTTCTCTTAGAAACACACTTCATTTATATATTTATTATTCTGCTAGACGTTCGTCGAGTATAGTATTAGCACAGAAGATTTTCGGTGATACAAGGTTATCCCAAAAATTGGTAAACATTTTCAAAAATGTAAATACCAATATTATTCGCCATAATATTATTTGTCGTTATGTATAATGTCTTTATATTATTTATAAAGTAATTGTATTATCTATTATTATGTATATTCGCCTTAATAATATTATTCGCCAAGTAATAAGAAAAACAACGTTTTAAAACACGAACATTTGGGACAACCTTATATATTGGAAGGAAAAAAATTATTCAATTGCCATTGGATCTTTCATACAGGTTATCTCTTTTAGATTCTATATAATGTTGGTATTACTGAACGATTGGGTTCTCCACGTTGTATTTAATTCGAATTATAAACCTACTTAAACTTTTTCACATTTTTCATGTAGATAGCACAACACGACATCATTAGGTTTGCCATAACACAAGCTTTAGTTGGAGGTATCTACACTCATGGAAAAAACATAAGGAAGTGGAAATTCTTTATTGTCGCCGGTTGTATATTTATTTAAGGAGATAGGCAAATTTTGTTCACATTTGGTTATTAAGTGTGTCTTCAATAAAGGTCACTATTATATCTATTAGAGTTATTGTCTGAATCCCGATATACATGCTAAAAGGTACAACTTCCTTGAGTTTTGTCCATGAGTATACTAATTGGCTTTTCAATTTTAGAATGTAATCTTTGAATTTTAAGAGGGAATAATCTAGACAAAATTCATTTTAAAATATCACAAATTAATGATGATGGTCTGATATATTTTATCAGAGATAGTGTAGAGGAATCGTAAAGGAAAACAGAATGTATACACAAATTGTAACCTCAAGCATCATATTTCATCTTGAAGAATATCAGAAGGAAACACCTTTAAGGAAAGTTTAAAGACACCATTGATGAAACCTAATTTATAGAAAAATAAATAGAACTAAAGTAATATTGTACTGGTATCAGTACATGTCCCAAAGAACAATTTCTTTGGTCGTTGAGGTACAGCTTGCATCGCTTATGAGAGCTAACACTCCAAACAGCGTACGTAGTTAGCATATAGAATTGCTAAAGTTGGATCACATAAAGTACTTATAAAAATTCAAAATTTCGAAGGGGGTCGGTGGAAGGCTGGTTAAACCGTTTGGTTTCCGACCACTACGACCCGGGTACGATTCCCGCATTGGACACTTTTTTTCTGTTTAAAAACAAAAATGCTCCAATGGCCCCCGATTCTTACAAAAGTCCAACCCCACCAGCGAGTGCGAGTAACCAAACAGGGCTCTGGCCCATTTGTAAGTGCAAAGTCGAACTGCTTTTCACATGTGTAGACATGTGGTGCGCTTACAGAAAAAGCGGTCGCTAACTACCCACCATGATTATCATGGCCTGTACCACCACGTGTACTAGGGATAAGCAAAAAATAAATTTCGATTTACTAATATCATTCTTCTTCGGGGATGGTTTCTGTTTTTATGGATGTTTTCTTTTTTAACGACGTTTTTTTAAATCTCTTTCTGAATGAAATACAAAAGGCTAAATGGATGGCTTATATCAAGGAATAATCAATAAAAGAATCACTTCGCAATCAGTCTTTTTTGTTTATCATATCATGGAATATCTAAGCTTCTCATATGTAGAGATAAATCCACGTTGAACAAACAAGGAAGAAATCAAGAAAAGAGTCTCATTACAAGATTAAAATAAGAATAATATATTCTCACTCGATTTTAACATTAATTAAGAAATTGTATTTGGCTAATACAAGAATAAAATCAACGATTATTTTATATTTATTCCAATAGATGGCTCAATCCATCAGCAACTTTTACTTGTACAATTAAGAGATGTCTTTTTTCTAATTTATTGTGTCGTCTTTAATGATACCAAGCTTATCTTGTATCCAATCTTTTATTAATAGCTTCCAATATTTCGCAACGAGACTTATTTTCTTCTGGAAGCAGATATCTGAAATCTTTATAATTACATCTATCCCCCGATTTACACGGTAGATACGTTCCTGAAAAAAACGTGTAAATCGAGGGATATGTGTATAGTAAACTGTCAAATCTGAATAGGTGTTCGCCCCCTCATGAATCAGAGCCTCCCAATATTCTTTTCAACATAGTTAGTATAGAGTAGAATATCGCATTTTAGTATAGTGCGATAAAAACAAAAAAAAACTTATTTGGAAAACCGTGTAAAAGCGAAAACGTGTAAAACAAGTATCGTGTAAATCGGGGGATAGGTGTATTGTTATATCTTTATTAAACGATTAAACCGCTTGGTAGCGTTCCTTTTTGTTTGAGCTTTCTCGACCGATCACCGAAGTTAAGCAATGTCGGGCCTGGTCAGTACTTGGGAGGGTGATCACCTGGGAACCCCGGGTGTTGTAGGCATTACCCTGCTTTTAACATGTGTAGACACGTGATACACTTACAGTAAAATCAGTCACCAACTTCTACCCACGATGATTATCATGGCCTGTACCACGTGTAATAGGGATAATAAACAAAATTGTTTGATAATAAAAAATTGCGCACTTAAATTTTGAAAATATATCATCTTCTTCATGATTGGGTGAGGTAAAATGCGTCTGCCTTTGTCATTAAGACTGGGAGCACTACTCAGTGGCAGGCCGACTTAGCTCCAAAATAAATGGCCGCCTCTGACATGAGGAACAGACGCCATGTGCAGCCGCTCCTAACATGGAGTACAAACGCTGCTTATCCTGTATCCCTGGATTAGGAGCCATTATAGGGTACTATCAGTCGGGCAAGCTGAGCCCAGGTTTTTTAGTGAGCTTGTTACTGCTCCCCCTTCTCCTTTTTCATCGGGCTTGGGACCGGCAAAGGCGGAGTTTAAAATATACCATAATTATATTAAATAGTTTTTTAATAACATTTTTTATCAAGTTGAGATATTGATCTGTCGATTGTATTTCGACACCTACCAGGTCGAGACCTACTGGAAACTACTATCCACTCAACCGCTGTAAGCCAGAAGGCAACGCTTGACATGAGGCGGTGCTTATTTTTCCATTCCCGTCCTTAATAAATGGCCTCAAGGTATTTTACAAATGGGAGGAGCCGTGTCTTTCTAATTAACACAAATAACCCGCGGAGTTTTAATTAAATTTGGATGCAAATTACATATAGGGTCTTTTATATTGTGAAGGTGAAATATTAGTAGTTGGATGCGGGAAACTTGGTTACATATATATATTGATAAAGTTGGATCATATATAATACTTATATAAGAATACAAAATTTCGATTTACTAATATCATTCTTCTTCAGGGATGGTTTCCGTTTTTAATGATGTTTTCTTTTTTAACGACGCATTGTAAATCTCTTCTTCCTTTTCTTCGTTCTTATCTCCACTCTCTCTCAATCATATTAAGGTGTCAAGTTTTGACCCTTGATGGTGTCTGTTTGATAACCATCATGACCGGGTGAAGTAGAATGCGTCTGCCTTTGTCATTAAGACTGTGAGCACTACTCAGTGGCAGGCCACTGACTTAGCTCCAAAAGAAATGCCGCCTCTGACATGAGGAACAGACTCATGTGCAGCCGCTCCTAACATGGAGTACAAACGCTGCTCATCCTGTATCCATGGATTAGGAGCCCTTACAGGGTACTATCAGCCGGGTCAGCTGAACCCAGGTTTTTTAGTGAGCTTGTTACAGCTCCCCCTCCTCCTTTTTCATCCAGGCTTGGGACCGGCAAAGGCGGAGTTGTATCTCTTCCTGTATGAAATACAAAAGGCTAAATGGATGGTTTATATCAAGGAATAATCAATAAAATAATCACTTCGCAATTGAGCTTTTTCGTTTATGATATCATAGAATTTATATACTTATAATTATATTTAATTCTTCTGTCCTAAAAGCTTATGTCCATAGTTCTTCTAAAATACCCATTCCAAGAGTCTTAAATGCAAGCGGTATGGTAGATTAAACTGGCGAAACCGCTGGGAGGGTTCACCACTGATGAGCCAGGCCCTCCCTTTAATTTTTCCATCGCAGTAAGGACAGTAGAAATTGTTTTATTTTAAAAAGAATATTACGCCTCTAAAATAGTTTTATAATTTGATATCATAGAATATCTAAGCTTCTCATATGTAGAGATATATTTACTTTGAATAAACAAGAAGGAAATCAAGAAAAGAGTCTCGTTGGAACATTAAAATAAGAATAATATATTCTCACTCGATTTTAACATTCCTTATAAAATTTTAAGAATAATTTCATGCTTTATTTACAGTAGTTTAAAATATAATTTACATATATATATATATAATATAAACTCAAAATATATCTTATTATTGTAATTTGCTTGTAAATAATAAAATTAAATGAAGGCTGACGTCCCCAGAGATGACAACCTGACTCCACATAACTTCACAACAGGAAAACAGGGAACAGGAAAAGTCGGACCTTTGTCGCCGTAGGGGAGGAAGACTCCGGCAAAAAAAAAAAAGGCCGGGGTAAAAGATAGTTGGGAAGTAGTGATCAAAGGAGATGCGGTAGTACTGCGTAGTCTCATTGATGGAGCCATGTCAGCATGTCTTTTTCTAGGGGCATAGCCTTCTTGTGTCGCCACTAACCTCTGGAGTGTTTATTTCCTTCATAATTTACATTACAACATACATATAGTTAGCTACTTAATATACCTATATAACAATCACGCTGACAATGTCCATAAGCCCGAAATATGCATCTAGGCTCTATTTTCTTGATTTAGAAAAAAATAATTCAGGAAAAAAATTATTCAATAAAATTAAATGAGGTTTATTTGGTATTCATTTCGATAAAGGTTTGTATTTGTAAATTAGTAATGGATCTTTGAGCGTACCAGGAAAGTTTTTCCTGAGTGTAATGCCACAGATCTTCTTGTCTTACTTTATAAAACTTTTCTATAGACATATACATATCATGAATTGGATTATATTGTAGGAAAGTTTATTTATTCTCAAATCCGTTATTTCAACGAGTCTGGATGTTCAACTTCGCTCTGAAAACCTTTTCGAAAAAAACTTCCATCCACGAGATACACAAGAATCAAATCTTTATAAAAAGGCTATTTGTGTGTGGGGTGAATAAATTATTTAGTATAAATTAGTATTTCTTTAGATGTATTTTTGTCTATAATATCAATATTAATGCATATAGTTTGCTTATATTCAACAAATGGGCTTTAACTCTAGGTATTGGTTGTTTTATGATAATTATTCAATTTTATTTTAGATTACGATTATCAGCTCTTGTAAAAGACGCCTGTTTATCATGAATGCTGTTGTTTATATATTTATTTTAAAAATCTGGTGATAACCCCTTCGTGATCATCTGTTAGAAAGGCTTTGGTATTTTCACGGTAACAACAGCCAACATAGCAGCGATCAGTCGATTAGCAGAGAAATACACCCACTCACCTTCAGACTCTAAGCCTGTTTTAATGAATTACCCTCCGGTCTTTGAAACACGATCTTCAGTATCCTTTGTCTTAGTCGCTCAGATTATAACGGATTGTTGTGGCTCTATCCTTTAATAATTACTTTATCATCACAAGATTACGGACTTCGACAAATTACTAAAAAGAATAAAATATCGTAACTCTTTTTTTTTATTATTAAAGGAAAATCTTTCTGGCAAGTCCTTCTTCAACTAACTGATATGTCAAACGTTTTAGTTTGCTGGAGAAGTGCTTGCCCGAAAACTTCCTTCAATCAAGTAAATAAAAGTAGTTACGGTGTCTTATGCTTTTTTGAAATTACTTCATCATTACAGCTATTAGTTAATCTAGTAATGCCTTTAATACTGTATATACTATAGTAGGCTAAATTGTAAATTATTTTTGGGCTTCTCTAACCTTTAATAATTAGTTATAGTTAAATATATATATTGAAAACAAAAAAGGCATATCCTGACCAGTCTCACATAAGCATTTCTAGATAGCAGAACGCCATCTAGTGGAACAAAAATAAACAACACGTTTATTTAACTTGTTCCGTGATATTTGGCTAACCCAATTTCTTGATAATTCAAGAAAGGTCAACCATGAACGCGTTTCGAACTGTTAGTCCTCGTCAGCGTGATGCAGACTGTACATCTACGACCAAAATCTGGCCCCAGAGGCTTCCTGAGAAATCAAGAAATGGGTATTTAAGGCCAAATTTGCGTAAATATGCTTTTCATGTGAAAAAACAATTAAAAATGTAAAAGAGGGCAGGTGTTTATATTAAAAACAAAAAATGCATATCCTGAGCAGGCTCGTATATATTGTAGATAACAAATCCAACAAGCAATCCAGGGCAAAGTTTCTTTATTTTTTTATTTCTCTAATTTTCGGGTCAACATGACTTTCAACAGGAAAACTAGAAGTATGACTCACAACCAACTATACATACCTATTGTTTACGCCTAGTTATGTAAATAAATTGCTAGGCTGCATTGATTTATAATCATGTAAATTTTTCTTTCTTTCTTTTAATTATGTAAATATATATGTATATAAAATGAGTGAAAGATTCAATAAAGTGAGTCAGTTAGCTAAAACGAGCGAGGCGTCCTTCCTCTATTCAAACAGCTTGCTACATCGCATTCTTGCGAAGGGACAACATTCTCGGTAGTCAATCCGCCGGTCTGGTCTCATAAAGTACAGTCAACAATAAGCTCTGCCACATATCGTCATCACCTGAGACCAGACTAGAGGCTGAAGGAGCGATAGGAAGTCCTGGCTAACATTGTCAGGAACCAAGCTCCAACACCTATTTTTAAACATATATTCATGGATATCAACAACAACAAAAAGGCTTTTATTATGTCCCATTGTCCTGTATGGATTCGCCATACAGCAACAAAATAAAACAGTAATTTTTTTCTCCCTTTCCTTATATGCACGTGAGCCTTTGTTTGAAAAGGGATTTATTTACACATCTGTTCTAAAACTTTTCTCACTACCTCTTTTGTGTATGAATCTATTTACAATTGATCTGTAGAAATTAAAGAGTTCTACTGCTATATTTTTCTTTTCTGAAATAGTTCTCAGCGTCTTCAGTGGGTTTCTAATACTCCAGAAGGTGTTTTTAAAAGTATATTCATGGATATCAGTAAAATAACATTGAAAATCTTACTCTCTGCAGGTGATTTTTATATTGTAAATTAATTTGAATTCTTAATGAGAACACATACATTTTTTTTTTCCAAAAAAAGGAGATTCTCTCTTTGAAATAAATTACTATAATGTTAATCCCATCTATTGCTCCTATGCTCCAGAGTTATGCTTTAAATCTCTCTGGAGGGTCATTATTCTTAATGCAATTAAATGGAAATGAACATTCTTTTTTTTTTGTATAGCTAAAGGGGATCTCACTAAAAGAGATTATTTTGGGAAAAACC